TATATGACATTGAATTTTTGAGAATACAAAAATATTCTGTATTCTATTCTACAATAAGATGTACCGTCGAAAATTTCATTAAGATCGGTTAAGAAACACAAAAGTTATGTGCGCACGTGTTAGCAGCATAGCTGCTGCGCAAATTCCAAGAAATTCTGTATACATGTACACACACACATTCATGCACGCGTGCTTTGAATTCTATCAACAGCATTGCAATTGCGATTGTATTGTTTTCTGTGCTGCTATTTTAATTGGTGTTTTCTTCATTAAAACTCAATTATTGGTGTGGCTGGTGATCAATTTTCTTCTTTTTATTAAAATTTTTCTTTATTACTACTAAGTCAAACGAGCGCGTAGCGCGAGCTGCATTTGGTGTTGGAAGAAGAGGGTCGGAGAAGCATCCTTCTGCCTGTTACAGACATTTGCACAAATACATTATACCCTTTTTACCCATTTTCAATGGGTTCTGGGTATGAAAATTAAGTGCTAAAAGCCTAATTTGATTACAACATTTTCTAATAGTGTCACCGACCGATGGAGGTAATTTATTTGCCCGTCCGTCCAGCTATACCCCTTTTTACATCTAAATTTGAAAGTCATGCTATTAGAGCTTACAGCTAAGAAGAAGGGTGTTAGTAGAAAAAATAGTGATTTAAAGTTTGTAATTGTTATGTAATTGTTTATGAAAATACAATAAATAGGAAAAAAGATTGAAAGAAGTGGTTAATAAAGTAAAATAGTTTATACTAGATACATAGACTGTTAAGTGCATAGGACAAAGACACAGTGAGGGAAATTTATAGCCTGTCCGACAAGCAATGCCCCTGCTCATAGCTGGCAATGATCAGTGAGCTCCCAAGACAACACCGAGGATTGTCCTACGGTTGGTTAACGACGGAAGATTAAGAAGAAGCAGCTTGCTGGAGAAGGATGGCAGGCGAAGATTGGGGCTCCAATTTATACCTCGTAAGGCAAAACACAGAGAGTTCAATACGATCCTGGCTATTGTTATACTGCGGAGACCAGATGCAAGAGCAGTATTCAAGGAGAGGGCGAACAAGAGAAACGTACAGAAGTTTCGTTATAAAAGGATCGTTAAACTTTTTAGACCATCGTTTAATGAATCCAAGTACACCTATTGCTTTTTAACGATGGTATCTTTATGAAGATTGAAGCAGAGTTTAGAATCAAAAAGAACGCCTAGATTCTTAACTGTTAGTATGCGTTTAAATGGAGTATTGTCGATTGTATAACTAACAAGATAAGGTGTAGATGCAATTGGTTTGCCGAACACCAAAGTTGCATAGCGTTCACATCATTTTGTAGATGAGAATGATGTATGGGATTAGTGTGTGAAAGGGTATGTGATATAACTGAGGGGAGATCATTTATAAAAAGAGAAAAGAGTAAAGGTCCCAGATGACTACCTTGAGGGACACCAGAAGTAACGTGAACCTGTTTTGAGGTAGTCAGCCTCAGCATTTCTCTTTGTCTGATGGTTGTTTCGAATTTTTTGGGAAATCCATCCCTCCGTGGTTTCACATTTTTCGCAAAATCAAAGCCTCCTCGGTGGAAAATGCGGGTTAAAGATTTTTTGGGGGCAACTTTAAGTTTCGTCCGATTGGCCTCAAACTTACATTCAAAGCCCAACAAAAGAACTTTATGAAAAGGTGTTTCAGCAATTTTAGAAATTCCATTGAACACTGTGGTAAATTAGCAGTAAACGATTCTATGAAAGTTTATTGTTTACCGTTCGGCTTTAAATCAATTTCAAATGCCCATCGTGGATAATAAATGCGGGTGAATATATCTAATTTTTTAGCACAAATCTTGCCACCTGCAAGGCCGGGTAATACCCGCTATTGTATATATATATATATACATATATCTCTATATATAAAACTGTTTGTCCCGACTGACTGAATGACTGACTGACTGACAGACTGACTGACTGACTGACTGACTGACTGATTGGTGATCAACGCACAGCCCAAACCGTAAGAGCTAGGAAGCTGAAATTTTCACTGTAGCTACCTTATGTGATGTAGGTGCACGTTAAGACGGTTTCGGGAAATTCCACCCGCAAGTGTGGAAAAATCGCGAAAAACGTTTGTATGGAACTTTTTTTTTTACCATCCGATCGGCCTCAAATTTATTTTCAAAGGTCTTTGTTCAAATTCATTTGAGGGGTGTTTCCCACTTTTTGGAAAATGCATGCCTCCTTGGTGGAAATGGGGGTCAAAAATTTGGTGGGTGACGTTTCGCCCTCAAATTCATTTCCAAGTATCTATATGAAAATTCATTTGAGACGTGTTTTTCACTTTTCGCAGAATTCAAACTTCTTCGGGGGGAACGCGATTCAAAGATTTTTTGGGCGAAGTTTTAAGTTGTGTCCGATTTGCTTCAAACTTATTTTCAAAGCTCTCCATAAGAACTTAATGAACACGTATTTCTGCGATTTGGGAAATTCCACCCGCAACAGTGGTAAATTGGCGGAAAACGGTTGTATGAAAGTTTTTGGTTTACCATCCGATCGGCCCCAAACTTATTTTCAAAGATCTTTGTTCAAATTCATTTGAGGGGTGTTTCACACTTTTCGAAAAATCCGTTCCTCCTTGGTGTAAATGGAGGTCAAAGATATGGTGGGTGACGTTTCGCGCTCAAATTCATTTCCAGAGATCTATAAGAAAAATCATTTGAGACGTGTTTCACACTTTTCGCAGAATCCAAGCTTTTTCGGGTGGAATGCGACTCAAAGATTTTTTGTGCGAAGTTTTAAATTGTGTCTGATTGGCTTCAAACTCATTTTCAAAGCTCTACATAAGAATGTAATGAATACGTGTTTCAGCGATTTGAGAAATTCCACTCGCAACAGTGGTAAATTGGCGGAAAACGTTTGTATGAAAGTTATTTGTTTACCGTCCGATCAGTTTCAAAATCATTTCAAATTTGCTTGTGAACATTGATTTTATAACATACGTGCCACGGGCAAGGCCGGGCTATACCCGCTAGTATATATATATATATGCTCTCGCAATGTGTGATATTATTCTGGTTATACTAAGTTCAAGCGAAGCCCTACAGAGAAATAAATCACGGTATCGCGAAAGGTTTTTGCGCCCCGACTATGATTTCTGCCTGCAAGACTATGCTTAAACCAGTTGAATCGATAAAGCATTATTATATTTTTCCGTTCGCGTGCGAAGCTGATTTTAAATCGCTTTGAGTTACATTATAACATTCTCCAAAGAGTGCCCAGGCCCAATCTCGGTTAATCTGCGGCGGTGCTTGAGATAAGAATTGCGAATGGTTGTGCGTATGGAGTCCCATTGGAATTTGAGAATAACATTCAACAATATTGGAAGTATACCCTACTTCTTAGAAATTCTTAGAGGGCGATTGGCTTTTCTAAATCCTTTATATTTTTGTTTATTTAATTTCGGAAACTTCTGCAATATTTTCTGATTTGAATGAGGCCAAACAGATTGAGAGCCAGCAGCGTGTATAGTGTGATATGTGGACTATAGCTACAAGTTATTTACTCGTTCCTGACCATTTAAAAGAAGCAGTTCAAAATATTTTCGGAAATGTTGTATATTTAGATATTAAAAGCTGTTTAAATTAATTCATTTGAATAAACTGTTTATATATTTCGAGATGTATGATATCGAATAATGTCAACTATAAACCTCATATTTAAAAGCTGCTTTAATTGAGCAGGCTAAAAATATATTTTTAAGATCTATAATTTATTTTTTTTTTTATATTTTTAGATCTTTTTACATCATCTCCTTAGATGATCTCCTCCAAAAAAAGAATAGAATTCAAATAAATCAGAGTTGAAGTCTCATTATAAAATTAAATGCGATATTTTTTTTTTGCTTACCATTAACAGGTGAAAAGATATTGAGGTATAAACAATCTTCTGATTGATTTTCCAAAAATGGCAGCAATCTTTTCAAGTATTCTAAGCGACCTTTCGGCATCTTCTCCAAGGCGTCGGTTTCATTTTGGATATTGGGCAATCGTTGCGGGCACACTGGACTGTATTTGTCCGAGATGCGTATCCCATCCCAGGGCGCTGGCGCACGCGTTGGGCTAAAACTGCAATACATATAAGTAGATAGGCATATAGACGGAAGGTGATACATCGATTGGAGTCATTAATAATTGCTGGCACGCACCGGTTTTGTTTGGTTGGAGGCGTGGCATAGGGCACACCAAGGAACACTTCTACCGAGCGCAGAAAGCGAAAGTTGTCCAGGGGCAGAATCATACCATGTAAGCGGCCATAACGAGTTTGCACTATGCGATGTCCCGGTCGGGCACCGTTGTAGACGTCGTGCGTAGAGGCCGAGGCGTAACCCACCCAGCCATTAGATGCAGCCAAAATTAGCAGCATCGGCCACAGCAGACGAGGTTGCAGTGCCATCTGTTGGCAATGCCACATAATCAGCGCGTTCAACTTCTCCTCAACAACTCTTGAGTATCTTTCGAGTGTGTTCTTAACGCTGTTGCGCGGAACACAGCTATCCGGAATCCACTATCTATAGTTGATTATTGAGCTGGCTTGACCTTGATCGTCAGCTTCCATGTGCAAAGTATTCATCTTTCTGTAGCTGTCCTCGGGCTGAAAGGTGTAGAATTTTATAATTTTTATATAACATTAGGTTTACATTTTTCTAATTGGTCGACTGTTCGTTGATAATAATTAATATATTATTCGATGATTGTTTTTTTTTTAAGTTTATCTTCATGTCATAGCTATAAGTTTTGGGGGCTTTTTTGAGAATGAGTGTGAAGAGTTACTAACACAGATTTTCGCGCAGCAGTACATATCCGCAGATTAGCAAGCGACTATAATGCTGTGGGCTGAGTGGCTGCTTATCGGTCTTTGGTGAAATAAACATATACATATTTCCGCAAAGCTCTTTATATGTTATACACTGAATGGCTCTCAGTTGGACTTAAATGCTCGGGCGAAAAAGTTTGGGAAAATGTGCGGTCGCTTTGCTTTGTTCCTAATGTTCATGGTGATCAAATCAATATATAGTTACGAAAAATTTACATGTGAAGAAGACGGAATGATCAAGAAAATAAGTTTAGCCTGTGACGGCGTAAATCACTGTCTCCATGGCAGCGATGAGTCATACATGAAGTGCAAAGTGCGGGATCAGGACACACCAGACACATTTTTCTGCGCCTATGGAGGTCGAATTAATCAATATAACGATTGCAACCAAGTGGCTCAATGTGCCGATAAATCTGATGAATCTGCCAGTCTATGCGAGGACGAAATCCAATTTAAAAAAACAAAGAAGGGCAACTGTAAAGAGTACGTAAAAAATAAAACAACCTTACATTTCTACCTCGATCTTAAAAGAAGATCGCCAGGATTTTCAAATGCAAATTTAATTCCTCAGGGTGCGCAACTGTGATAGCTTACGACGATTGTGATTATGGACATTGCACAAGCTAATATACTATTTCTCACATTGTGAATAGAGTAATGAAGACAATAGCAACAGTTCAGTTCGGTTTTAAGATAGTCAGTGGGAATAGTGTGTGAATTTCTACAGACGTTAGGTAACGCGATGAATATAATAATTGGTTAATGCTATGTAATTCATTAATACGTAATTTTACAAATTGAAAAATATCCTTTTGCGGAACATATCCTATATATAAAACTGTTTGTCCTGACTGACTGACTGATTGGTGATCAACGCACAGCCCAAACCGTAAGAGCTGGGAAGCTGAAAGCTGTAGCTACCTTATGTGATGTAGGTGCACGTTAAGTCGGGGTTTCGGGAAATTCCACCCGCAAGTGTGGAAAAATCGCGAAAAACGTTTGTATATAACTTGTTTGTTTGGTGGGTGACGTTTCGCGCTCAAATTCATTTCCAGAGATCTACAAGAAAAAACATTTGATACGTGTTTCACACTTTTTGCAGATTTCAAACTTTTTCGGGTGGAATGCAACTCAAAGATTTTTTGTGCGAAGTTTTAAATTGTATACGATTTGCTTCAAACTTATTTTCAAAGCTCTACATAAGAATGTAATGAATTCGTGTTTCAGCGATTTGGGAAATTCCACTCGCAACAGTGGTAAATTGGCGGAAAACGTTTGTATGAAAGTTATTTGTTTACCGTCCGATCAGTTTCAAAATCATTTCAAATTTGTTTGAGAACATTGATTTTATAACATACGTGCCACGGGCAAGGCCGGGTTATACCCGCTAGTATATATATATATCTCTATATAAAAATGAAACTCCTGACTGACTGACTGACTGATTGGCGATCAACGCACAGCCCAAACCGTAAGAGCTAGGAAGCTGAAATTTTCACTGTAGTTACCTTATGTGATGTAGGTGCACGTTAAAACGTTTGTATGTAACTTTTTTGTTTATAATCCGATCGGCCCCAAACTTATTTTCAAAGATCTTTGTTCAAATTCATTTAAGGGTTGTTTCACACTTTTAGGAAAATCCATTCGTCCTTGGTGGAAATGGAGGTGAAAGATTTGGTGGGTGACGTTTCGCGCTCAAATTCATTTCCAAAGATCCATATGAAAATTCATTTGAGACGTGTTTCTCACTTTTCGCAGAATTCAAATTCTTCGGTAAAAATGCGATTAAAAAATGTTTTAGGTGAAGTTTTACTTTTTCCCGATTTGCTTGAAACCTATTTTCAAAGCTCTACATAAGAATATAATGAATACGGGTTTCAGCGATTTGCGAAATTCCACCCGTAACAGTGGTAAATTGGCGGAAAACGTTTGTATGAAAGTTGTTTGTTAACCGTCCAATCATTTTCAAAGCTTTTAGAGAACATTTATTTTATAACATACGTGCCACGGGCAAGGCCGGGTTGTACCCGCTAGTATATATATATATATATATAGTTATGAAAGACAGATAAACTTTATTTGCAGAGGTGAAATGGAATGTCTGTCCGGGGATTGCATTCCAGAACAAAAAATGTGCGATGGGAGTAACGATTGCATCGATGGCCGGGATGAGTCAGTGGATTTATGTATGAAACTTTATAAATCGGGTCATTTTCAATGCGCCAATGGCAACCTCATAGAGAAAAATAAGACCTGCGACAATACATTCGATTGCCCCGATGGCTCCGATGAGTTATTAAACATCTGTGATGGCGAAAAGTATTGGATAAGGAACCCACCAAAGCTGTGTGTGGAACCAACAGTGGAAGGACTACGATTTACAGGAGAAACAAAATATCATTCGGCAAATGGAACCCGATTCGTTTATGCCAATCAGGCGGTTGTCCTTGAGTGCTTTGACCGCAACGCTAAAATGTATGGTAGTCAGTGGAACGTATGCCTATATACGGGTGAATGGAAAAACCGTCAGATAGAATGTCGATCGAAGCCAAAAAACACCAATCCCAACACGAATGGGATTAACGGATGCCCCATAGACACATACATCAAGGATATATTGGAGATCTATAAGTGCGTGAATAGAAATTGCTCAACACGGGTGGAACCGCCTATAAATAATATGACAGTAAAGTTTGCATGCGCAAAATACTATGAATTGACACCACTTGACTTTGGCGAAAAGGAATTGAAATGTTCAAATAAGCAATGGGGTTCGAATAATGTTTACTTCAAGGACCCAGTCTGTAAAAGTAAGTACATTTCCTTAAATATAAAAACTGTTTGTCCCGCCTGACTGAGTGACTGGTGATCAACGCACAGCCCAAGCCGTAGGAGCTAAAAAGCTGAAATTTAGCAGATAGCGAAAAAAGTCTGTGTAATACTTTTTTGTTTTTTATCATATTGAAAGATACTAAGCAAAGCTAATTTAAGAAGGGGAGTTCAGGGTAGTATGTGTAAGAGAGGAAAAAATAAATTTCGATCTCGTCCCGCCCAAAATTTTGTTCGCAGTCAATAAAGTCATTCATGTTTCAATATTCCCAAAAATTTTGAACTTTTGTGAAACCTCTAATGGATGATCTATGTCATATTCTTTCCCGTTGTTCCCATCCCGGAGTTTTTTGCGGGACCCGCGGAATTTCCACGGGATTTCCGAAATGTTGCCCCTTTTAAAATGGGCTGATTTAAATTTCCGACGGGCGGGAATAAGTGGAAAAGTATTGACCTTTATCATAATATGATGTATAATATTTTAAATTTGAACCAAAAATAAATTGACCCCGGATGACTGGCTAATATATGCTTATATCGTACGTAAGTATGCTTATAAAATGCGATTTCTAATAGTAATTTATTAAATTTAAACAGAACCATGTAATCGGAAAAACTTATACTGCAGAGATTCAATGCATCCGAGGTGCACATATAATGGTCATCCGGACAAAAATTGTCGTAGTCTGCTATGGCCAGGCACCAAAGCGACATTTTACTGCAATTATGGATATAAAGAAAACTTGAATATGTCTAAATTGGAATTAAAGTGTCTTGAGGATGGGAATTGGTCGAATAACCCAGACATGGATAAGTTCTGTCAACTGGATTGCGGTAAAATCGAAAGTGATATACATCCATTAACAAAAAATGCGTATCACATAAAACCCACCAACGCCCCATGGACTATTGCACTTTATACAAAAAAAGAAACCAGCTTCGAATATGCATGCAGTGGGGTCCGGTTAAAACCCAATTTAGTGCTCACTGCTGCACATTGCGTTGCCAAGGATAAAACCAAGGAGTTGATGCCTTTTGAGTTTTTCCGGGTAGGTAACTCTAAGAGTGTTCTCCGGACGGTCAACGAAAACTTTGGTTGGGCGGTTGAGGATGTGATTCTCAATGGGTGAGTACGTCCCAATGTGGCTTATAGAATATTTGGATTCAATAGTAATTTATTAGCTGTCTTTTATTTTCATTATAGGGCTTATTTTCCGAACTCTTTAAATGGGGATGTCGCTCTGCTAAAACTGAAATACAACACCGAAGACGAAAATGGTGGGCTAAGTACCATTTGTTTGCCGTGGGCTTACAATGACGATATGACGGAAATCGACAAAGAAAATGGCATGGTGGTCTCGTGGAACAGCACTAATTCAATGTTGAACCTGACCATGGTTGTGACTCAAATAGAAAAGAAGGAGTCGGATGGCTATCGTGTGAAAATAAAAAGCAATCAAAAGGTCTGCAGTGGTGACAGTGGCAGCGGCTTTAGCGGGTACTGCTATAATGAAAAAAATGAAAAGACAAACCAGATTTGCGTGTATGGTGTGGTGAGCTATACAAATACAGGCATTGATAATTTTACTTGCACTGATAATATTATGGTCATTAACATACGCCACGCCCAAAACATGCATTTCCTCAAAGAATCTATCGAAAAGTTATCGAAAACATGTGAAGATATTTCGTAATTGAATAAACTAATTTTCACCACATTACACAACATTTTCGTATGTATGTTTCATATATAATTTGTTTAATGGAAATGTTGAGAAGTTTTGGCCAAAGTGCATAAAGTATATTAAAGCATGCAATTGTTGTTATTTCAATAACAAAAGTATTTTCCATAAGTCAAAGCTTTACTCACTCATTCTCACTCACATTTCAGTCTAAAATATTGATATGACGAAAGCACCCAGAAAATTTCACACCCTTGTAGACATTTTCCCTACGGTTTCGCAAATATGTGAGAATAGTGAAGCTCGTAAATGTTGGATTTAATTAATGATTTTTCTAATAGTGCTATATACAAATGATAGCGATATTGATAAGAACTAAGCTCATATGTAAGCAGCAAAGTTTAACTCATAAAGATAGCTTGGAAAACAAATATGATATATATACATATTTGTCCGATTCAGTCGGTTCCGACATACTTCCTGCCTGTTACAGGAAGACAGTCCTGTTTAAAGTTTCAAGAAGATAGCTTTAAAACTGAGTGACAAGTTCGCATAGATACAGACAGACGGAGAGACGGACATGGCTATATCAACTCGACACTGTTAATGAATCTCTATATATAAAACTGTTTGTCCTGACTGACTGACTGACTGATTGGTGATCAACGCACAGTCCGACCCGTAACAGCTAGGAAGCTGAAATTTTCACTGTAGTTACCTTATATGATTTAGGTGCACGTTAAGGGCACCGTTTCAGGGAAACCTATAAGGAAAAATCATTTGAGACGTGTTTCACACTGTTCGCAGAATTCAAACTTCAAATAAAGGAAATTCCACCCGCAACAGTGGTAAATTGGCGGAAAACGGTTGTATGAAAGTTTTTTGTTTACCATCCGATCGGCCCCAAACTTATTTTCAAAGATCTTTGTTCAAATTCATTTGAGGGGTGTTTCACACTTTTACGAAAAATCCATTCCTCCTTGGTGGAAATGGAGGTGAAAGATTTGGTGGGTGACGTTTCGCGCTCAAATTCATTTCCAAAGATCCATATGAAAATTCATTTGAGACGTGTTTCTCACTTTTCGCAGAATTCAAATTCTTCGGTAAAAATGCGATTAAAAAATGTTTTAGGTAAAGTTTTACTTTTTCCCGATTTGCTTGAAACCTATTTTCAAAGCTCTACATAAGAATATAATGAATACGGGTTTCAGCGATTTGCGAAATTCCACCCGTAACAGTGGTAAATTGGCGGAAAACGTTTGTATGAAAGTTGTTTGTTAACCGTCTGATGAGTTTCAAAATCATTTTCAAAGCTTTTTGAGAACATTTATTTTATAACATACGTGCCACGGGCAAGGCCGGGTTGTACCCGTTAGTGTATGTATATAATTTTAGGGGAGCGTCTCAATTTATAATTTACACTTTTTGTTACACAACTATAAAACCCCAAGGGTATTCAAATTGATTATTTTTTGTCATTTATGAACAATTCGTATTGAGCTGAAATATTATTCAGACAGTTATAATGCTACAAAAAAGGAAATAATAAGCAACACTAAATGCAGCTCGCGCTACGCGCTCGTTTGCTTCAGCAGTAATAAAATAAAAGACTCGAACTCGTAACAGACCACACCCCTTGCCGGCGCCTCTACTCAACAGCCATACCTCCAATTGATAATTGGTGGTCAACAGCCATACCATCAATTGACAATTGGCGACAAAAAAAACGAATTAAAATAGCAGCACTTACACACAGCACATAATACAATACAGTCGCAATTGCAATGCTGTTGATAGAATTCAATAAAGACGGCAGGCAAGTGCGTGGCCAGCCAAAACACGATTTTTTTTTTTTAAATGGAAAAACAGTCAGATGGAAGCATCTCCGACACCATACAGTATAGATATTCCTGATCAGCATCAATAGCTGAGTAGATCTAGCCATTTCCGTGAATCTGTCCGTATGTATATACGCAAGGATCTCAAAACCTATAAGAGCTAGAAACTTGAAATTTGGAACGTAGGTCCTCCTAGTGTCGGCGCAGTACACGGTTGTATTCGATAATCGATAACTCGCCCCGTTTCCACGAAAACGATAAAATTTGATATCGAAATGCGATTTTTTCAGCAAATCTCGTAAATTATAAGAGCTAAGGACACAAAATTTAACAAGAGGCTTCTTGAATAGCATATATATATATCAAATATATTTCATTTTACAACTTTTGCCAGCTTTGCTGAAAGAAATGGATTAAAATCATTCACTCTGTGCATTTTGTAGGGGGGGAGTTGCTTGCAGATTTTCAACTCATCAAGAAATACAACTTAATAAAGGTGGTCAGTATATTCTGTCTACTCAAGTAGACATCGCAGTTCTAATCAATATTACTCGTCCAAATCAAACATTTCCGATTAGTATAAAGGCAATTATATTTTCACTATATGTAAATATTGTTATAGTCCGGAATGCGTAGAGTACTCAATTTTCTAGAAACACTTCGAAAAGTGCGGCCCAAACCTTGCGCCGAAACCGTTGTCACCGCCAACTCAATTAGCAAGAAAAACACTTCACCTGGAGGGCGGTATTTCGAGGATAATGCACTCCTGACTCCTGACAAGCGCAAAACAGCAGGGCAAATGTCCGGATCACAGGGCGTCGAGGAGCGCTGGCAGAATTTGAAACGTGTTTTACTCACATGCGGGGGTCACCAGGAGCCAGAGGCAGCCACGCACACGGCGGACATTGACGCAGAGGTCCTGGTAGATGTATTGGAGGCGCAGCGTTTTGTGAGCGATGTATTCGCGGCCATGGACGTGCCCGATGCGGCGGCCAGCGAAATGGCCGATGCTCTCATTGCTGCCGACTACATGGGCCAGCGTAGCATGGGCATTCATAGACTGCCAGCCATTGCAGCCGAACTGCTCAATTGTACGGTCGACCCCCGCATGCAGCCAAAGTTGCTGAGTGAGCGCGATGCGCTGGCTTTGGTGGACGGCCAGAATGCACCCGGGCCGGTGGTGGCCAATTACTGCATGGATTTGGCTATACGCAAGGCGCGGAATCAGGGTATTGGATATGTGGCAGCGCGTCGCTCAAACACTATTGGAATGGCATCATGGTACACCTGCCAGGCGCTGGCGCAACGCATGATCGGCATCTGCATGTCAAATGGTCCACCCATCCTTGTGCCCTGCGGTGGGACTGAGCCGCTGCTGGGTGGGAATTCAATTGCCTGTGCGGCGGGCAGCAAGCGGGAGCAATTCCTTATGGACCTGGGCATGTCCGCTTATCCCATTGAGCAACTGCAGCTGGAGTACTCCAATGGGTATTTGCGACAGCTGCCCGATAATCTGGCATTGGATGGCAGCGGTAAGCCCACAAACTGTGCCGCGGAGGCGCTGCGTGCCCAGCGCCTGCGCCCTTTCACGCCCGAGCACAAAGGTTTCGGTCTGGCTGCCATGGTGGATATACTTTGTGGGGTTATGACAGGGGCCTGCTATGCAACGCATCTACGCCGTCGCGGCCTGTTTAGCTCTGACAACGAGCTGGCTGATCTGGGCCAGGTCTATATAGCTATTGATCCAATGCGCTTTTGTGTGTCTTTCGAGGAGCGGCTGGCTGATTTCCATCAGCTGCTACGCAATGTTATACCCTGCGATCCAATGCAGCCTCCATTGATACCGGGTGACAAGGAGTTGCAGCATATGCAAATGGTTGACGATCAAGGTGGATTGGTTCTGTCACCTTGTACGCTCTGCATCCTTCAGGAGCTTGGCGAGCGTTTTAACATAGATCCTCTTAATCCTAACAAGAATTTAAAGTAAATTTCTTATGAGTGCAGGTTACATCAAATGTTGCATAAATAGATCAAATAAATGGCTGAATTTAATTTCTTATTTCCCATTAGTTTCCTAATACCCACCGAATTTAACTAAGGTGCTGCTAAAAAAAACGATGCTGTCGCCGATCTGGAGCTACGCCGTCTAAGTCTGAGGCACGCCGAGCTGCATCAAATAAGAACAGTCCGAGCTAAGGCATCAAGCAAGGTAGCCGGCCTCCCATGGTACTTTTAAACAATGCCATCGACCATAATCTCCGCCTAACAAAGGTCGGAAATCAGATCAACTTCTTCAGCAGCCGCACGCCGATAAGCTGCTGCAGCTTTCGAATACGGTCGCCAAGGTCCTGGTTGATCACAGAGAGGTGCCTCCAAAGGTCACACCCACGCGACCTACCTACCAGAGGAATTATCGAAAATCACATCACAACAAAAACAATGTAAATACCATTTAAGCTAACTAACATTGTAACTATACTTAATTTCGCAGTCTGTCGTTTGGCAGAGATCAGAAGATACTGACCGATCCCAGTGCTCAATAAAACAAACTATATTCTTAACTGTAACTGGTTCAAATCCCGAAGCAAAATTAGTTTTTTTAATTTTCTTTTAATCTGTTATAATTCAGAATGAATTCTCTTTAATATGAATTTTTAATTATTAATTAATTTTCATCAATTAATAATTAAATTCAAATAAAAGTTAAAATTTTTCATCGGTTTTGTTTTTTATACCCTGAACACATTGCAAATGGGTAAAAAGGGTATAATGTATCTGTGCAAATACATGTAAACAGGCAGAAGGAAGCAACCCAGCGGACCAACATGCGAGTCTTTAGCGATAGTCTCGCAAAATGCTCACAAATGAGCTCGTATGTGAGCAGAAAAACGAGTGGGATACATTTTTATCGCAAAACTCTCGCACACGAGCGTGGCAGTGAGATCTTTGCGATAAAAATGCAAGCTCAGTAGAGAGAATAGTGTGTTGTTTTTGTTTCAAATATTAATCGTGCTCAGAGAGTGCAACATCGTCAAGAGAGAGAGAGAGTAAAAATGACGCGGCATTCGGATGCTGTGTTGTCTTTGTTGTTGTTTCCTACTCAGCCCGAAAAATATGTGTATTTTGGGGGTTGCAAAATTGCTTTGTTCTCTTTTCTATTCTCCGCCGAAGCGAGCAAACACGTGGTTATGTGAACAG